TGGTAGGAAGAATCGTAGTTAGGCAACAATAGTAGGAAGAACTGTCAATGACTGCTAAATGGAGGTCCGACGGCGATTGACGAGAGGAGATTCAACAATGACAACCTGATGGATCATATTTATCAGTGGTAGTGTCGGGGTGGAGCTTTAGAATTCTCTAACCTTAAGAGCCTTTTCTCTTCTTCCTCCTCCTCCATATAATAAAGAATTAGGATTTAGTTATAGTTTTGTGGGATCGAGTTGCATGTCTTGTAAATAGTTTTTTGGGAGTTGCATGTTTTGTAAATATGGAGAAAATCAAGGGCACGTTGGGAGTATTCCATCGAATGGTCGATATTGATTCATTTGATCATATAATGTTTATCAAGCATTTATGTAAAAAAAAATGATGTCATAATTGAACAATCTTGGCCTCATTAGATTCATCTCGTCAAGCCGCTCAACTTGAACATATTTAAGCATGCCATATTTGATGATCATCCAGTCATCCAATTAATACATTGAACCTTCCTAGTATGCTTTGGACTCTTGATTTGGACTCATTTTGGGTCGGATTGAACCGATTTTGGTGTCGTAGGGATCATCTCTTTGAGATGTTCAATTCAACTATAAGTTTGTTGAATCAGATCTTGGATGATTCCAACTTTAATTTTGGAAGTAATTTATAACCTGGTTATGCCTCGAGATTCATGCACGATCAAGACAATTTTTTTTATAAATCAATAATACCAAGAATAATAAAAAAATAAATTGGGAGCTGTAGTCCCAAGAGAAAATAAACAAAAAAGGATGAAAAAAGATAATAAAAAGGATGTAAGCCACAAAAAGAAACGCATGAAGAAACTAATAGTAATTTTTTTTAGAATCACAAGTTCTCTAAAAATATATCATTTGAAGGAAAACCTATAAGCTGGTGATTCAATCTAACACATTAAAAAAAGAAAAAAAAAAAAAAAAAAAAAAGGAAGGCAAGCCAAACGTAAACCACCAAGAGGGCAACCCAAAAGAGGGAACTTAGGAAGATCAGAAGAGCATCAGCAACCAGTCATCGCCAGCCGAGAAGGTGCAACCCAAAAGTTTTCAAGCATGAGAACCTGCAGAAAGTCTAGAAAGAGCATAAGAAACCAAACATATAAAGAAATTCTACTAAAGGAAGACCCTGATAAAACACACCATAAACCAAACCAATTCAAAACAACCAAAAGAGAACCCAAAGCCAAAGCCCAAAACAATAGGATCCAACCGAGACTAAACAGAAGAACCAAAACCCCTAAAGCCCGACCAACCACCAGAAAATAAAAAATTCACAGCCATAAACCCACAAAACAATAACAAAAAAGAAAAAAATAGAGGAACAATAACAAATAACACAAAGACCTGCTGACAAAGTTTTTTTTAACTTTCTTTTTCTTATTTTTATTTTCACGCTATGGGAAAACACGCAATTACCGTCGAACGTTCTGGCAAATTTTTTGTTGTAGGAAAGTACGGCGTTCGTACCGACGCATTTTGCGACTGAAAACAACATCGTTATTTCCGGCAGAACGATCATCGGTAGTTTTCCGACGCCCAATACGCCGGGGTTAATGTCGAAAAATACAAGCATTTCATTCTGAGCGGCCAGAACATAGAGAAACTAGCTTTATCAATTTTCAACACACCCAAATTAAAGTCCTTTAAAGGAACTTTAGAATAGGAAACATAATTATCCGCATCACAACAGATATTATCTGAGAATTCCTCCTTCCAATCCGAATGATCAACATGATCAAAATAGTGCTCACCAACAAAGTATAAGGGGAATTTTCTTTCACACATTGCAGTTAGGATATCCCCCTAAGTATGAGGGAAATTTTTTCATTTTTAGGATTTTTCCCAATATCTTCCTCTACTTTAACCATCCAATTCTAATTCTACTTATAATATACACATCGAATCCATCTCTAGAATCATCAACAAGAAGAATATAATCAACAAAATGCATACACCGTAGTACAATCTCTTGCAAATGTCTATCGAGAAAATCCATGATAAAAGGAAAAACTTACGGTGGATTTCCTGCAAATGAGGCGGCGACTATATATCGGCGGAAAATTAATGTCGGTCGACGAACCGGTCTCGGCAATGGCAGCGTTCGGCTGAGGCAACTGATGCGAGTAGAGCAAACCGAAATGAGGGGGAAAAAATGAGAAAGAAAACGACGTCGGGAGGGAAATAGGGATTTCTTCATCGGCTTTTACGATGGATTTTCCACTGGCATAGTTACTGGTACAAAATCCGTGAGAATGCGTTTGTCGGGTTTAAGTAGGCCGGCGCAATATCCACGGGATATTCTGACAATATTTTTTGGAGGATAATACGCCAGAATAAAATGTTGGTCTTATAAATAACGACAAAGATGCCGGCGGACAATCCACCGGAAACACCATCGTTAAGGTTCCAGTGAAATATACGTCGATTGATTAACCGCTTTTACTGGCATATTTACCTCCATTGGAAAGTCAGATGGTAATACAAGATTTTCTTGTAGTGTTCTTTCACTTAGGTGCCCTCTCGATTGATGCATATTATATTGAAATTGTCTTCATCACTATCGGTGGGTCTAGAAACCTCTATTTATGTTCCTCTTAAATTATTGCAACTTTATGCCTCTTCCCATCCACTTAATGATTCCTCTTTGTAGCTCATTATAATGACTATATCTAAACTGTAGAGGATAAACTTTTAATCTCCATTAGTTGGGACCCTATAGATCCCCTTAGGTCAATTTTAACTCTACTTTTTTGCTAAAAATATATGCAGTTATTATAGTTTTTGAATTTTACTATCCTCTTCTCTTGTTGGTAGTAAGCTCCATACCAAAAAAAAATTGGATAATATTCAATTACCTTCTTTATCATCAAATGAGGGTATACTTACTTTGTTATTTTTAAGTAATGATATGACCAAAATATTTTTCACTTTCATTTTCCTTCGATTTAAAAATTATATGATGAGAACCAACCATTGTATTATATTAAGAATTATATGATGACCCATTACTCACCAGAAAATATTTATATTTCATTGGCTCTAAATTAGGATGAAAGACTACAGTAGTACATTTTTTAATTCAGCCATGTAAGTAAAGTGATTCTTCATGTGTATTAGTAAATGAACTCTAGAATTCTATCTACTTAATGAATGTCTGATTGCACTAGTTTGCATTTTATTTTCGCACCTAAGGCTTAATCTTTTTATTGCAAGTTTTTTTTCTCAGGTCTTTTTATTTGAAAAACCTACCCATACTAATTACTTCACTATTTCTCTAAATAGGCCATCCATTATTGAAGTACTTGTTAAAGTTGGTGTTAGTACACACTTTTCTTATTCTAAATGGAATAGTTCAAAAAAAAAAAAAAAAAATCATATCATTAAGGATATGTATACAATAGTTGTTACTTGTGTTCAAATATAAATTAGTTTGACAAAGTATTTTTTCTATTTCAATTGGATTACATCAAGGATCAGCTTTAACCACATATCCTTTTCCTTTAGTAATGAATATTCTTATTAGATATTAGGAAGAGGAAGTACGATGGTGTATACTTTTTAATGATGATATTCTTCTTGTAGATAAGATTAAAGATGAAGTTGAAGAAAAAAATTAAATTATATAGATCAACCTTAGAGCCTAAAAGTTTTTATTTGAGTAGATCTAAAATTGAATACATCGAGTGTAATTTTAGTCTTAATAGATCTAGTTGTTATGACATTGGGTGATCAAATAATTAAAAAGAGTGTGTTTTAGATATTTCGGGTGTATTAATTGTTCATAGATGGTGAAAAAGATTGGCATATTATTAGTAGAATTTAAGTTGGATGGTTAAAGTAGATGAATGCATCGAGCCTATATACTATGTGATAGAGAAGTACCCCTAAAAACTTAGAAAATCAATATTAGATGGTAGTAAGATTTGCAAATTAAAACTTTATGGCGCAAAATGCTAGCCATTAAAAGAGAAGTATAAAACTAAGTGGTGTTGCAGAAATGATGATGCTCAAATTGATGAGTGATTTTACATTCAGAGACAAAGGGAAATGAGTTCATATATACATGCAAAGATTATAGTATCTCCAGTGGCAAATAATGTTAGAAGAGTCACTTTAGATGGTTTGGTCACATAAAACATCAGCCTTCCAATGACCCAATTAGGAGAGTAGATGTATTAGATCTTACCTATGTAAATAAATGTGCATGTATACCTAAATGACTTTGTTATAAAATATTAGAAATGATTTTTTCAATAGAATTAAATGAAATTTTGACTTTTAATAGAACACAATAAAGAAATAGGATTCATGTACGTAGCCGACTACACATAGTAGGATAAAGACTCGATATTATTGTGTTACTGTTTTTTATAGTCAATTATGCAAAGAGTTGTGACTATTATTCAAAAGACCCAAATTTAGTTATTATTTTTATGCAAGTCACACATGTAATCTCTATCTAATGTAAGAGAAAGAGTATGCACATCAAGCCTTCTCTAAACCTAAAGCCTATGATGACAGTGTTTTCCTGGGCTTCCACTTCATCTTTTTTTTAGTAGTGTAACTGAGCACTTATCTTTTGTTAAAAAAAAAAATTGCATTCTACCAATTTACAAACAAGTCTTTATCAAAAATCGATTAAGTATCTACATAAGATAGATGTCCAAACCGGTTATAATCAATTATCATGTGGTTTGGAATTTCTACAAAAAAAAGTCACCATGAGCCATAGACATTGCTTTCCACTTCTCCTTGTCCTGCGAAGTGGAGGATTAAAAAGAGCAGAAAGCAATGGGAGAAAGGCAAAAGGCAGACGTAAATCATAGATGTAGGGTCTTCAAAAGTATAGTGAAGGCTTTATTCATGAATGATGTAACTCTTGTAGCTAGAAAATATCAAATTTGATGAATATATAAATAAAACGACAGTGCCAACCAGGAGCCTACAACTGATTGATACCAGACAGGCTATGCTTTGACTTCCGCCCCCTCCTCCCTTACTTTTTCAAATATACTCATCTCCGATCTGTCTCTCTTTGCTGAATTGAAAGCCTCTTCTTGTAAGACACTTAGTAAGCTTGTTGGCTGAAGCCAGAAGGACCCCTAACTCCCTTCGTTTTCTTAGTTTTTCATTTATACTCATCTCTGATCTGTCTCTCTTTCTAAAAGAATCCCTCTTCTTGTAAGGAACTAAGTAAGCTTGCAGGCTGAAGCCAAAAGGAAGCTGTCAGAGATGGGTAGGGCTCCTTGTTGTGACAAGGCAAATGTGAAGAAAGGACCTTGGGCACCTGAGGAAGATAATAAGCTTAAGGATTATATAGAGAAGTATGGGATTGGTGGAAATTGGATCGCCCTCCCACAAAAGGCTGGTTAGTGACCATGATTCATCTCTCTCTCTCTCTCTCTCTCTCTCTGTCAAATTAGGGAGATTTTTTGGTGAGCATAGTTCAAATTTTCTATTTCATTTGATTAGTAACTGTACTCTATGTAATTTAGCTTTACTCTGGAGTCGGTATCAATATAGAATAAATTTGAGCGAAATAAAGAATTTTTTCACTTAAATTTTCTATGGAAATTAATGTTTTGAGGGTTGAAATTGGCTTGCTTGCAGGGCTAAGGAGATGTGGGAAGAGTTGCAGGCTGAGATGGCTAAATTATCTGAGACCAAACATAAAGCATGGTAACTTTTCTGATGATGAAGATAGGATCATATGCAGCCTCTTTGCTTCCATTGGAAGCAGGTTAGTTAACACTCTTTTGCCTTCTTTTTCTCAATTATTCTACTTTTAGCTAGGCGATATCCCTTTTTCACTCCATCATTAATTTACTTTAGAAACCTGCAAATGACATAAAAGAGAAAGAAGGAATATATGAAAACCATCATTCCTTACTTGCTTTACCAAAGAGCACTCATGGATTAAGAAGCTTCTTCCATACCTGACCACCTTCCATGCATTCTCAGCCCCATGCATGCGAGATTTAGAAGCCTAGCTTCCTTCTTAAATTTAACATAGATGAAAAAAAAATTAAAATTAATTTAAATTTAGATCAGAATATAAGACTTCAATTCTTGAACTTCAAGGCGTTTTTTTTTATCGAGTTATGAAGCTCTCTATGAGAAAATTTGGATAAGTTTTTTGATTAGGATTATCAATAAATTTATTTTGAAATAATGTTATATCTGATTAATCAATCAAAATTTATATCACAGTAATCATCTCAAATTAAATATAGTAATTATAAATTGAATCCTAACTAAATTTGAATCTAAATTTGTCTCTAGTCAATATACATAGGCTAATACATTTTCAACATATTTCAATATAAGAAATTATTATGTTAATATGAAATATGTTGAAAATGTATTAGCCTCATAAGTGTGACAAGCGTTGTTGATCTGAAAATTTGTCTCTCAATTGAAAATTATTAAGTGTCATATCTGCTTAGTTAAAATAAACTCTCTTTTATTTACTGACATACACTTTTCAAAGTGTAGATGGTCCATAATAGCTTCTCATCTTCCTGGAAGGACAGATAATGACATTAAGAACTACTGGAATACAAAGCTCAAGAAGAAACTATTTGGAATCTCGCCAACTCAAAGGAAATCAAGTCATCAGGTGAAGCAGCAGAATCAACAATTACCAGCTTCTCTTGATCATAATCTCCTTCATCCCTCTACTTCTACTTCATTACTATCCCATCACCAATACTATCCATCCATATTTTCTAACTCCACCACTTCATCCCCATTAGTTCAAATGTGGCCATCACAGCAATATCAGACTGAGTTAAATAGCAGCAAGCTCCTCATTTTTGGAGGAGACCAGTTGAACTGCTGCTCTTCTGAAATAAGCTTCGGGAGACCTATGGAGTTTGAGTCAGAAAACTATTCTCTCTTTAATGAAATAGGAGATCAGAAACTTCTCTTTGGTAGCATTACAGGAGGAGGAGGAGTAATAGAAGCTCCACTGATAAATTCTGATTATGAGGAGATTAAGCAAGTGATTAATCCCAAAAACATCTACTTTGATGACCCCAGAAGAGCAACCGAGGCCAGTGGGAACAGCTTTAAGCCCCAAGAAAGGGTCATGTACTATTACTGATCTACAGCTATGAGCTAGCTATCAGAGATCATCAAAAGGAGGAGGAAATTATTAGCCGAGTCAAATATAGGTACCACCTATATGTATTTGATTTATGTATTATTATCTACAGTAAATATTCTGTATCTAATAATACATAAAAATTCATAATAGTATATGCGTGACTGTATATGAGCTTTACGCACGTAATAATTTCGAGAGAAGAAGAGAGACTTAATTAAGGAGTTAAAAACGTTTTGTTCTTAGCTTGGTAGATATATTGGATGAGCCATGGAAGGGAGTACATGAGCTCAAAAAGATCAGTGTGGGGTTCCATATGGTTGTGTGCATTTCAATCTTTCTACTATTGACATGATTGATGTTCCTTTTTATTGGTACAGTCACCAAGACTCAAATGTTCAGAGAAGAAATAATTATTTTTGGTCCATGCCTTCCTGAAGACATAATTCCCAATATCCTAAAAATAAGAAAGATAAAAAATCTCTCTCTCTTTGTCTCTGGGTTGCCTTGTATTCTGAACCAAGAGAAAAAGGCAGCTTGCTTTCATCTTGTAGTTTGAGCCAAATGAGGAGGCTTTGGAGTTCATGAAGATCTGCGAGTTGTGGAGCTGGTTGGGTAATAACTGATCGATCGTTCACGTCTCTTGGACGTTATACATGCATTTTTTATTGCAAGTTTTTTTTTTTAATTTGAATGTTGAAATATATAAAAATATAAGAAGTAATTTAAAATATATTTGAGATGCCTATAGTATTTTATAAAATTAATTATAGTGTTAGAGTAGATAAAATAACTTAGGTTTTATTTAGAATAGTTTTTATCACTGTTAATTCTTTTTATATAAAATTTATATTAAATTTAAGAAATTCAAAAGAAAATTTTAAAAATGATGTTTTAAAGTATTTAATATGCTAGATGTTTTTTTTATTTTATTTTATGCTGATTTAGTATTATTTATTTTGTGCAAGATATTAGCATTGTCATTATTTCCATGTCAAATATTTAAAATAAAACTAGACTCCCAAAAAAAATGTAAGTCTAAGATAGCTTTAATTATCATATTTTGTTAAAAACATGAATGTTTTTATTTTTATTTTTTGAACTTCATATCTATAATAGTTGAAAAAACTCATCATCTTGGATAATTTTTTTAAGGAGTATAACACTATGTATATTTGCATGTTTAAAATCATCAGCAACTCTATCTCTAGTCAATTCAATTTCGCCTCGAGATCAGCTCAGAGTCATTTGATGATCTCATGTCAATTCAAATCAAATATATTTAAATTTGGCTCAATCCAACTTAAATATATTCAAAATTATGTGTATAAGCATTCGTATACTCAGATATATACATATAATTTAAATTTCGATTCATCTTGATACAGCTCAATCTGATCCAAACTTATCTCAAAATTATCTCGAAATCAAACACATCAAAACTTTCAATCATTGCTCTACTCCTTTAACCTACTTCAAACTTAAAAATCAATTCAATCTTCGATCTAAAATTTCGGCCATACACTTATCAGATAAGTCATATCCAATTCACAATTTTTATATATTGTTAGATCTAATTCCAATCATTCAAGCTATATAAACATTACCACTAATAACTTATTAACAGCGCATTATGGCTTTCTTCTCAACGGTAAAGGATCTGATCCGAACCTGATCTACAACTTAGTTGTCTTTCTAATATTTTAATTAATATTATAAGTTAGGAGTAATATGATATTATAAGTATTAGATGGAATCCTGACGTCAAACTCTATGATTTAGCTCTTACTTTTTGAAGTGAGATTCTTCTTTGGTGGTACATATTTTTTATGGATTTGTGTTTGGGAACTAAGAAGGATGTCAGTTTACTCTCCATTAATTTTTTAGGATAGCATATCCCTAGATGAAGAGAGAAAATTTGTCGGGTTCTTAGGTTTGGCGATGCTAACAAAGACTAGCTGGTATAATATTTAAAAAATTTTACCGTTGAGTGTATAGGTTTTTTGGTTCTTCTCTAACAGTAATTTATATTGCATGAAATGAAACTTATAAATAGTTACATTGATGATGAGAAAAAGAAAGACTATTTTCAAGTGCATATAGAGTACTTTCCCCGTAAGGAACAAATCGCACATATGTAGTAAACACAAAAATTATAAGAACTTCTAAAACCTAAAAAGACTAGGGGAAAAAGCAAGTTATAGGGTACTTTTATAAGATACAGCCTGTTCAAGTACCAAAATTAAAGAAGTTTGGCAAATCTAGACATCCATGGGAGTGGAGGATTAAAGGTTGTGTAGCATTATAGGTGAAAGTTTGGTAGTGACGCACCGAATTGTTTTCGAGAAATAAGCTTCAAACGATATGCTCATTTTTATTCCATAATTATAGAATAAAATTTCTCAAAATTTTGAAGAAAAATGTCGTTTCCGATAAGTATGCAGTTAGCAAATAAGTTTGTTTATAAGGCGGGAAGATGTTGCAAAAATGGAGAGAAAAACCTTAAGTACGAAGGAACTTTCCCCACAATAATCTCACATTTTTTGTTCTACAGCTTGGTATATTCTCATGACAATATCGAAGGAATTAACATTTATTGAACTTTGTGGGATTAAAAATGCATTATTACTGAAATGACAATGTTGAATTGATATAGGATTATTGTTTTTTATATCATTGCCAAACAAAGATGTTGTGGAATCCAATAAGAAAGTACTTATAGGAAAATCGTTATTGCAACAATAATATCATTAGATTTATCTAGCATCTCAGGATTAGTAATAATGAATATAGTTTGGGTTGGAGGGATGTTACAATCAATCAACCCCTTAGTGATAATGTAATACATATCCAAAAAGGACTTAGAAGTATTATCAATTATAATGTTTTTCTTTGGCTTTTCTTAAGTTAAGGCATTAGAAATATTAATTATTTATTAAAAGCAATGCATTAGTTATGATAATAGACTAGTAGGCCTTAAAAATTTATCCCTTATCAACATTCATGAGAAGTGTAACCACTTCAATTTTTTTCACAAATATATCAATAATGTCTAACTCAATAAAAACCCATTCAACAAATAGGCAAGTAGTTATAACTATAACAACATCAACAATTAAGGATTTATCAATAATAAAAATAGTAGTAAATGAATTCTTCCAATGGGGAAAGTCACCCACAATGACAAGATAGGTGATGCATAAGAAGAATCAAATTTGAGAGTCCTTTTCAACATCCTAACATAAAAATACATCAATATAGTATGATCTATGCTAGAAAAATCTAGTGTGATATTAATATATACATTGTAAAACAAAATGTGTCATATATATATATATATATATATATATATACTTACAAATGATTTGCAAAAACAGCTCCAGATTATCTGCAAAAACCAAGCCAGATGATCTGCAAAAACAGCTCCATATATATATAATTAAAGCCAACAATAGAGTAAATATCAAGTAATCTAAATGATATCTAGCTTAAGTCTACCAATAAAGACCTTGCCTATAAGAGAAAATTTAAAAGGTATTAGCATGTAGTTTTTTACTTCAATAAAAATAAGGGCATCTTTTCAATAATGAGTAGTGAGTGATTTGAATAAAATATTTGAGTTCTATGACTTTTAAGCATCAGAAGTTTGCAAAAAATATTTAGGGATGCATTGTAGTTGTAATAACTCAAAATTTTGAAATGGTTTTCTTTAATAAAAAAATTTGAATTTCAACATTATGCATTGTCGAAGAAGGAAGAGAGAGGGAGGAGAGAGAAGGTTGTTCAGAACTTTTCTTCCATCAATTTTGTTATAAGATTTTCTTTTATTTATTATAAGAAACCTAAATCTCATTTTAGCTTTCAATGATTTCGAGTTTGACAAATTTATTCTCTTCTAAACTCGATAAAAATGCATTATTCTCTTAATTTATTTAGTTTTTACTGTATAACTTTTTGTATATAATAGATATGAATACTTTGGTCATTTTGACATTAAAAACACTAAATTTCACCTGGTATATTTAAAGTTATAATTTTTTTAAAGTTATAAATTTTCTTGTATTGAACATAATTGACTATTTTATACTGTATTTTGATTGTGGCGTTTATATAAGCAGGAAAAAATGTCTGTTGACACTATAAAAAGAGTTGGCTACTTGGTTGTTAAAACATAATATTTTATGCAGGAGGATGAGTGAATGTGCTTTCTTTTAAAGATATTTTATGGTGTTATCCAGGTTGTAGATTGTAACAGTTGATTGAATGACTACAATGAACAGAAGGTGAAGACTCTTAATAATTTTTAAAGTCACCTGTAATAATAATGATAAAAGATGAATTATAATGATATAATGATTAAAGAATGAATAAATGAAATAATGACAATATCACATTAAAGCTGGATATCTTATCTTGCTGAATCATATTCTAATGCATGCATATAATGATAGCATTGATAGATAAAATAGTAACGTGTCTATATAGATAACATCTGAATGGATGCAAATATTGATGACATATAATTAATAGAATATATATAAGAGTATAAGACTAATGTGATATTGTACCTGTGATTCTTTTTAATTATTGATACTTGAATGATTATAATACTATTATTTTACTAATTTACTAATTCGCATGCATGTTATTAATTTCTATATTCATTGCAATATTTTTTTTACTTTTATTATTGATCATCTTGAACTTTACAAATGATAATTGATCATTGATGAGATTGATTTTATTAACTGAACTGAGTATGGATATTAATTCTCCAAGCCTTGTGTTGAAAGCTTTTGTGTGTCTGAGTTACTATTGATTCTTTAGTTTATTATGTGAATTTGAATGATTTCAATAAGGGTGGGAGTCAAGACTAGGTGGAATGAAATTGATAGAGATTCTCAGGTCTTTCTTTAGATTTCGTTTTGCATTTTTTTTCATTTTATAATTAGGAGTTTATGATAAATTAGTGATTGTAATCATCTCATGACTATGATATATTAATTTTGGAAGAATGAATATAGTGAAATATTTTAATATATATAATTTTAATTGCTTTTGCTAGAAATTTGTTTATATTGATGATTTATAGAAGCTCTAGTATATTATTAAAATGATAAAAAGACAATTCTTCCAAATTTGAATATGAACCGTGATAGTAACAATCCAGTATAATGATGTCACCTAACCTCCAATCCTCATACAAAACAAGAGTAAAATATAAAACTTGAGGTGCAATCCGCATCAATAGTTCAAAAGAAGTCAAAAGGTAATGCTTAAACACTATAAAAGTAATTTTTTAAATAATAATATTTTTAAAAGAAGATATGTAAATGAAAAATTCCGTTGTATTATGTTATGCTTAACCAAAA